CACACCACATACAGGTCGAGGTTTCATTAATTTCTTTCACTTGAGATCCCACAGATACCAAGGTGGAGAGGCTCTGGCCTCATGGAGCTCAGAGCTCAGGGAGAGGTTGTCTGGATTGGTGTGACAGTACAGGGTGATGGGTGCCCTGGCAGGGATATGTACAGGATGTTTGTGGAGCTCAAGAAAGAAATATGTCACCCGCCTTGGGGGCGAAGCGGCTTCTTGGAGAAAATATCTAGGATAGGACATGAAGAATGAATAGGGTTAGAAAGGCAATAGGGGTCCACATGGGACAGGGGGAGAGAGGAAAGAGCACAGGCAAAGGGCCAGAGGAAGAGCAAGAGCATGGCATATTTGAAGGATTCAAAAATGGTCTGTGCAGCTGCAGCAGGGAGCAGGAGCACACTCATTTTTGTGATGGATATCCAACATTAATTTGCACTTACTCTGTGCCAGGCCCTGTGACAAGCAGACCCATTATGAGTATTAGCTCATTAAATCTGCACAGCAATCCTGGCAGCTAGAGACTATGGTTCACCTCATTTTACTAATGCGGAAACTGCAAATTAGAGAGGTTAGGATTCGAGATATTCGACTTGAGCTGAAGGTCTCACATCCTGTAAGTGAGCTGAGATTTCCACCTGGGCAGTCTGGCCTGAGCGCTCCCACCCTTCGCCGCTGCACCTCCCTGAAGGCATGGGGTCCTGCCACAGGGCAGCTTACCCCAAGCGTTTTAAGACACAGGGGATTGGAAAGTGCTTTTGTGTAGAAGTTTATGTCTATGGTTTGCCTGAAGTTGTTGCGAAATAATCTGTCCACAAAAAAAAAAACACTTTCCAAATAGGTTTCTAAGTGATAGGAAGTATGACCACAGGTTTTGACTTCTACACAATTTTTACATAGCTTCCACCTCTAGAATTGACTCCCAATTCTTGCAAAGTCTTGACTGAGACTATTTTGAAATCCTTCAGGTAGAAAAACTGCCTCATCTGAGAGGGCTGTTCCATCCGGGACTCAGGCAAAGTTTCTGAGTGTGCCTGAGGCTCGAATTCTATCCAAATACCAGGGGAAGGAAGCTTTTTACCTAAACTCTGAGCTTCCAGGTGGCCATTTGAGAAAGAAGAAAAGTAACTATGTGTATATAACTTTTCTACACATAATAGCCAACTAGAATATTGGCCACTGCTGAAGTCCTACAGCACCTAGCACATCGTAGTAGATGATCAAAGAAGTATTGAGAACAAATGGAGATATAAGAGCATGAATAAACAAATGAAAGACGTTTCTGTTATTTATTTGTTCCTTGGCTTTCTCCTTAACATGGGGTACAACAGTGTAAGCAGAAACATCTCTGACTAGGGTCCGAAGTTGTAAGAATAGATACAACTTCTATGACCACAAAAATAATATGATCTCGAAGAGATATTTGTACACATGTTCACAGCAGCATTATTCACAATAGCCAAAGAGTGGAAGCAACCCAAGTGTCCCATCAATGGAATAATGGATAAACAAAATGTGGTATGTACACATAATGGAATATTATTAAGCCTTAAAAAGGAAGGAAATTCTAATACATGCTACAACATGGATGAATCTTGAGGACATTATGCTAAGTGAAATAAGCCAGTCACAAAAAGACAAATGCTATATGGTTCCACTTCTATGAGGTACCTAGAATAGACAAATTCCTAGACAAAGAAAGTAGGTTGGTGGTTGCCAGGTGCTGGGGGAAGCAGAGAATGTGGAGTTATTGTTTAATGGGTAACAGAGTTTCAGCTTTGCAAGATGAAAAGAGTTCTGGAGATGAGTGGCAGTGATGGTTGCATAACAATGTGAATGTACCTAATACCACCAAACTGTACACTTAAAAAGGGTTAAGATGGTAAATTTTATGTTATGTGTATTTTACCACAGTTTTTAAAATTTTTTAAATAAAGGCAAAATAAAGACATTTTCAGACAAAAAATAATGCAAACTATTACAGTATAAGTATTAGCATGTGATATTAATTATTATATTAACATATACTTTATATAATATGTAACTATACTATAATTATTATCATAGCTAATGTCTACTTTATACACTATATTGTAATGATAATACAACAATAATACTAATTGCTATTATGGCTAACATCTATTGAGCTCTTCCCATGTGCCAAAATCTGTTGTAGTTATTTTTTGCTTTATATGCTTATAATAATACTATGAGGCAGCTACTATGATTTTCTCCTGTTTACAGATGGGGAAATTTGGGGCACACAGATGTTAACTCTCTAAAGGCACAGGGCTAACATATGAAGCTGTGATTATTCTGAAGGAATAGCTGAGGGGCGGTAGCTGCATTGAAGCCTTATGGCTAATGGAGAATGTTTGACTCACCTGACTGGTAGTTTAGATTAGCCAGACCAGAGGTCTGTTTACAACTTCACACCAAAGTTCTCCAGGCACAGCTGATCAGTAATAATAGTAACATAAAAGGGGCTCCCAGACGCCTGGTACCAAAGTGAGGAGTTTGGATGCATTATTTTATCCAATCTTCCATACAACCATAGGAGGTAGGGGCCACTATCATCTCCATTTTACAGATGAGGAAACTGAGACATGAAGAGGTTAAGAAGCGCACCCAACCCCACATAGCTAATAAGTGGTGGAGCCAGGATGTAAACCCAGGCAGTCTGATGCTCAACTTGGTACATTGAACACAATGCCAGAGTGTCTTAATTTACGATCTGAGATCTAACTTCTTGGTATTATTCTTAATAATTATAATAAGAGTTAAAAATTTATTAAGTGCTCACCATATACTGGGCTAAATGCTTCCAATGTATTACCTCCTGGGTGTCCTAAAACGAACCTCTAAGGGAAGTACTGTCATTAGCCCCATTTTACAGGAGAAGAAAACAGCCCAGGGTCTACCCCACTAGCAAGGGGTGGAACCAGGATTCAAATCCAGGTGGTCTGATTCCAAAGTTGAGCTCTTAGAGACTCCACCACTGCCTACTCAGAGTGGCAGCTTCCAGCAGCATCACCCAGGAGCTAGATAGAAATGCAGACTCTTAGACCCTACTCCAGGCTGAATGAAAGAGAATCTGTATTTTAACAAGCTCACAAGTGATTCGTGTGCATATTGAAGTTGGAGATATACTGGACTGCGTTTCACTCCCTTCCTCAAAGGCAGACCACAGGATACAGCAGTAAATAGCATAGACAAGGTCCTGCCTTCCAACAGCCACCAGGCTAGTGCAGGGAGGGGAAACAGACCACAAATAAGGAAATGAAAGGATAAGTAAAGGTGCTAACCCCGGCGTGCTTCTAAAGATGCAGGTTCCTGGTCTCCAGCCCAGACTTACTGAGTCTGAGGCTTTGGGGGTGGGTCCTGGAAATCTGTTTTAACAAGGCGCTTCATATGCTCTCTAAAGTTTAAGAGCCACTGTTCTCCCTGGTAAGGCTCATGGGAAGAAGCAGAGAAGGACATCAGCATCTTTCTTACTTTTCTTCTCACCCCAGTCCTCGGGGCCGGAGAGGTAGACTGCATGCAACCTCTCCAATAGGCTGACCAACAGACAATCAGAAGATTAGGAATTGAATTTGGCCCCTCTCTGTGAATTAATTTGAAACACTGAATCTCAGAGATCCATGTGATGGTACTTAATATGGCGCGCAAGCCTGCAGGCACTCACAATTGACCCTGGGAGTATTGACCAGTCCCTATGGAAACGGTTCTCACTTCTGAGCCTGCCTTTGCCTGTCTGCTACACAGGGAAGGCCATTGCCCCAGGACCCTTGGGACAGATCTAACATGACAGCAGCAGCTAAGCCCTAGGCAGACACTAACCAATGCCATGAGCACATCCCAACCAGGAACCAATTCTCATCTGAGACGCTGGCCCAATGCCTGGCTCCTAAGGAATCTCATGTACAAATCATTTACTAGCAACTCAGACGCTCTCCCATTACTGATGGCTGCTAGCCAGCCTCAAGGGAAAGATCTAGGGGAAGAAATTCGGGCAAATTATTCCCAAGACTTGGAGTTTGAACAGACAAAATCAGAAGAACTAAGAGGAAAGGAATAAGATAGATAATTTGCCTTTTTCCGAATACTAATGAGAATCATAAACTAACCTGTAGAAGTACTTACTACATGCTGGCGCTGCAGTAAGGGGTCATCACATCTCATTTAATTATCCCAACAGCCCTGTGAAGTCAATATTGTTTTAATTATCCCCATTTGACACAGAGATGTAAAGCTGTCACTTTACAGGAAAAGAGAGAAAGAAGGAAGAAGAAAAGGTGGGGAGAGAGGGAAGGAGGAAGGGAGAAAAAGGGAGAGAGGAAGGGAGAAAGCAGAGAGGGAAGAAGGAAAGAAGGGAAAAAAATGGACAGAGCTCTCAGCTTTCTTCTGAGATAGAAGGAAAAATGACTATGGAAGACCTAAAGCAAAAGAAATATCTCTGAGGATCAGGAATAATATAAATGGATCTGACTTTTTACCTTCATTTGGAACAATTGAAATCCTCAAGAGATTGACTTGTTTCATGTTCTGTAAACTCAGACAAAAATAAGTTGGCTGAATTTTAGCCACCCCCAAATAATAAACACACACACACAGAGTGTTTGTTTTCCTAATTATGACTTCTGGGGACTGAACAGAAAATTTGGCAATCCAATTAACTGTAGCTTACAGTAAAATAGCACTAAATTGGTGTTTATATGCCCTTTGTTTCTCATTCTCCTTGGAAGAGTGTCAAGAGTTTAATGAAACTGATACTTTGGGATTTAGATCTCTCATAACCAGAAACCAGAGCTTCTCCAACACTAACAACTAGAAGTGACTCAAGGTCTTCGAGCCCATGGGATGTGCCAAGCACTGAGGTAGGTGCTGGACATGCAGTGTCCCACTGAATCCTCTCAGCAACCCTGCAATGAAGATATAATTAATATTTCCATTTTACAGGTGAGGTAACTAAGGCTCGATGAGGCTATATAACTTGCCTAAATGGTAAGTGGAGGAGGTACAATAGGAAGCCAGGCAGTAGGACTCCAGAGCCTCCGCTTTTAAGCACTGTGCTAAACACTAAGCTATTGTTAGCACAAAAATTTGTTCTTTAAATTAGCCAAATTGGTTGCTTGGTAATCTGTAGAAATACAAAAATTTAGTTTGGCTAATTGTTTTGAATGGTTTTATAGACAATGCCTCAGAAAGATATCCCTCCCTTATCAGAGTGGTTTGACCTCTACCCAGGAGGCTGAGGGAATGCATGTGATTCCAGAATGTTATTAAGGAGTCACTGGGCCGCTCAGTCATTCAACCTTCTCTCTCCAGCCTCCACGGGGAGTGCACATTTCCCACACAGGTCCATTGGATGTGGCAGATTGCCCCACAAGGCTGATGCATCCCTTCATTCAACAGATTCTAACTAACTGACTGCCATGTGCCAAGCACCATGCTGGGCACTTCACGTACTATTATTCTTTAATTCTCAAAAATATCCTGTGAGACAAGTGTCATTATTATCCCCATTTTATAGATGGAGAAATAGAGATTAAGAGTGGTTAACTATAGCTGGGATTCTCACCAGGTCTGTCTGTTGACTCTAGAGCTTGCTCTCTCAAGCATTATGTAATAGTGATCATGAAAAGATAGACATGGTACCCACCCTGGAGAAGCTATCACACCAACAGAGGAGGTGTACATGAAGCCACTAATTGCCCAGTTAATTATTTCATTACCATTATGGAAAGCACTACATAGTTGAAGTAGAGTGCCCTGTGCATGTGTTGAACACGTGGAATTGACCTGGGGGATCAAGAAATTTTCCTCGAGAAAATGATTGTTCAGTTGAGAACTGAAAGGAGTAAGAGTTAACCAGGAGAGGAGAAAACGGAAAAGCATTTCAGATAGAGGGAAACAGCATATTTGAAGACCCTGATGTATTAAGAAATATTGGCGTACTGGAGGGGAAGAGTGACAGAAGATGCAAGAATCGGTTGAAACAATCATCTACAGTCCTCATCCCTTCTCTTACACCTCCTTCTGTTATTCTCTCTACTAAGAGAGGAACTAGCCTCAGGTTAAACCAGCCCACTATGAAATTCCTCCAAGTGTGCCCAGAGTTGCCTAATAGACATTCAACACACCATTGATAAATGAACAATATGAGTGGACAAATGCTTGAAAACTATTTGGTCCAAAGTCAAACAATGTACTAGGGAGGGAAAACATCCATGAAATCAATTTTTTGTATCACACAGGTATATGTTTAGTAGCTTATTTTTCTAATATTTAGCTATAATTTTTTTAATTATATGAACTAATGAGGAAAAAATAGTCTTTTAAACAAATGATGCTTAAAAAAATGGATATCCACATGCAGAAGAATGAAGTTGGACCGCTCCTTTACATCATACACAAAATTGACTTTAAATGGATCATAGACTTAAATGTAAGAGCTAAAACTATAGAACTCTTAGAAGAAAATATAGGTTTAAATCTTCGTGACATTAGAATAGGCAATGGTTTCTTACATATGGCACCTAAAGCCTAAGCAATCGAAAAACTAAACAAATTGAACTTTATCAAAATTAAAAAAGGGTTATACCTCAAAGGACAATATCAAGAAATCAAACAACCCTCAGAATGGAAGAAAATATTTCCAAGTCATATATATCTGACAAGGGAATGGTATCCAGAATGTATAAAGAACTTTTACAACTCAACAACAAAAAAAACAAATAGCCCAATTTTTAAATGAGCAAAGGATTTAAATAGACGTATCTCCAAAGAAGATATGCAAATGGCCAATAAACACATGAAAAGATGTTCAACGTCATTAATCCTTAGGGACAAGAAAATCAAAACCCCAATGAGATACCACTTTGTACTCGTTAGGATTGCCATAATAAAAATAATAATAATAACACATGTTATGCAAGAATGTGGAGACTAGAACATACATTGCCACTGGGAATGTAAAATGGTGCAGCCACCTTGGAAAACAGTTTGGCAGTTCTTCAAAATGGTTAACATAGAGCTACTTTATGACCCAGCAATTCAACTCCAAGGTGTCTACCTAAGAGAAATGAAAACATATGTCTACATTAAAATTTGTACATAAGTGTTCATAGAATCATTATTCATCATAGCAAAAAAGTGGAAACAATCTAAAAGCCCATCAACTGATGAATGGATAAACAAAATGTATTGTACCCATATAAAGGCATATTATACATCACTAAAAGAAATGAAGTACTGACACATTCTACAACGTTGATGAAACTTGAAAACATTATCCTAAGTGAAAGAGGCAAATCACTAAAGACCACATTTTGTATGATTCCATTTATGTGAACTGTCCGGAAGAGACAAACCCACAGAGATAGAAAGTAGATTAGTGGTTACATGAGGTTGGAACAGGGATGGGGAGTGGCTGCTAATGGGTGTGGGGTTTCTTTTTGGGGTGATGAAAATGTTCTAAAATTGATTGTGGTGATGGTTGCACAACTCTGTAAACATACTAAAAACCATTGAATTGTACACTTTAAATGGGTGAATTTTATGGTATGTGAATTATATTTCAATAAAGGTGTAAAAAAAGTATTTGAACTAGAATTGGTGTCACAACCCTCGAATTTTCTAGAACTCTGTTTTTTCTTTTCATTTTTCACACTCAGCTCCTGGGGAAAGGCTCCAATATGGAGTGTCTTTCCAACCCTCCCCCCCAATAAAAAGCACTACTTTCAAGATATGTATGACAGGAATGAAGATTAGGACAGGTCTTCTCAACTTTCTTCATCCACAGGCCTGCCCACTCATAACCATATTCCTCCTAATGAGCCCTGAAGCCCTGAATTATTCAAAGAAAATTAAAATATTTTCCCCTACTGTATTTCCAAGCCTTACCCTCCACCCCCCCAAAAAAAGACTGTGAACAGAAAGCTTGAAATAAATTTTCTTCTTAGTCGGAGCTAAGCAGAACAGCCAAAACAGCAACAAAAATACCAACCCATTTCCCAAGAATTCTAGTTATGTGGCTTTTTCTATAGTTGCAGCAGCATCTTTTAGGCAGACTTTGGCTGCAGTGTGAGGAATTTAGTTTACACAGAAGTCATTTTCTTAGGGACGTTGCTGAACAATGGGCTATTGAGCAAACGTAAGTTTTCCATCTGTGGACGTCATTTTTTATAGTTTCTTTAAAGATTTTTATCTGTGAACTCGAAACTACAGTAGGTTTGATCTTTCCATAAAGTAAGAGGGCGAATGGAATTTCTTATAATCCCCCACCATTCCTATTATTTATAATCTTCAATGGTTTCCCCTTAACTATCAGCTCTTGCGAGCCCTCCTCTGTTTTACCGTTGTTCATTTTTAGCTTAATAACCACCTCATTGTATGCATCATCTCTGAAAATTTCGGAGAAGAGCCATGTAAGAGAAATGCGCTCTTTGAATTTAGAACAGTACATTATGTGTATACTTCTATATTACGTTCCATTTGTGCTGCTCCAATGGCATTAGCCAAGCTCAGTGGCAAACTGAAATGGCTTTGATGCTTTCCATTTGGAAAGGATGCCTTATTTAGCAGAGACATAATAGCATTTATTTTCTTTACCATTAAACATGGTTTGAGGGCCGGCCCCATGGCTTAGCGGTTGAGTGCACACGCTCCGCTGCTGGCGGCCTGGGTTCGGAACCCGGGCACGCACGGACGCACTGCTCCTCCGGCCGTGCTGAGGCCGCGTCCCACATACAGCAACTAGAAGGATGTGCAACTATGACATACAACTATCTACTGGGGCTTTGGGGGAAAAATAAATAAATAAATAAAATCTTTAAAAAAAACATGGTTTGATGTCTTTGCCTCCCAAACCAGTTCTAGGCATCAGCCTACCAAGTTTGAGCTATTTGTCATGGCCAAGAAGATTATAACCTCAATGCTTTTGTTTTATTTTCAAAAAAAAAAAAGCCTCTTAACCCTGAAAAACTGATAATCTTATCAGAAAAGCTCTGTCTTGAAGTTTTAAGTTACTATTTTTAGTACCAATAGAATCTCTAGCAGAGAGTAATAATAATAGCTAATATTTATTGAACTCTCACAATGGCCCAGCCACTGTTTAGAGATATATACATATATGCAGATAATTAACCCCAACAACGACCCTGAGACAGGTGCTAGTAATATCCGTATTTTACAGATGAGGAAATGGAGATACAAAGAGATGGAATACTGTGCCTGAGATCACACACCTGTAAGTGGCAGAGCTGGGATTTAACTCAGGAGTCTGGCTCCCAAGCCACTCTGCCTGGTAGCAGGAGCTTAGTAAACCTCTTTGAGTGAACAAGTGGAGGATATAGAGCATCAAAAGAAATCTATGACAGCAAAGTTCCATCTACTCATCTCCACCCATCTTTTCCAAGCATATGCCCTCCAGGAAGCCTCCCCAGATTACTGGAACAGAAAGAACATTGTTCTGTCATCCCTCCTCCCTGTTCTTTTACCGCCTTCCTAGCCATGGAGAGACCTTCACAGGGGATGTGTTTATAGAGAGAAATGTGTGCTTACAGAGCAAGCCTGTTCCCAGGAACCCACACATCAGTGTGCAAATGCACCAAGTCGATCTATTCTTTGACTCATTATGACCACAAAAATAAAACAGAAGAATTCTGGTAAAGCAGATATGGATAGCAACAATTCTGCTGGCATTAAAACTGGGTTTTAACCTTCTCTGTTCCTAGCGTTTGCATGAGACCAAGATTGTATGATTAAAATAGCACTTCATTAACTAATTTGAAACCCTCTCTTTTGTTCCTTGCTAATTAATCAGACAAATTAACCAGGCTGCTCTTTCTCATTTTCCAAACTAGAAGTCAATATTTCAGGGCAAAAGCATTCGGCACATCTAAACATAGTGGTAGTGGCAGCATCTTTGTTCACTGAACATAGCATAGCTGCCATGGTCATTTATTCAGAAGTATCAGTAGACATATGACAGCTGAATGTTCTGACAGAATGGCTGCACCAACACTTTTATTTTTTTTTTTTTAATAATTTTATTTATTCATTTATTTTTTTTCCCAAAGCCCCAGTAGATAGTTGTATGTCATAGCTGCACATCCTTCTAGTTGCTGCATGTGGGACACGGCCTCAGCATGGCCGGAGAAGCAGTGCGTCGGTGCGCGCCCGGGATCCGAACCCGGGCCACCAGCAGCAGAGTGCGCGCACTTAACCGCTAAGCCATGGGGCTGGCCCATTGCACCAACACTTTTAAAAAAAGTGAAGAGGAGTTAAACTGAGCTAACTGAGATCACATGAGAGGAACAAAAGCCCAGCGACCTTGCCTCACCTGTTGAGAAATTGCAACTAAGCCTGGTTTTGAGCCACATACTGAAGGGGCTGAGTATGCAGCTTTACACACATTAGTTTGTGTAATCTCCCCAACAGTCCTATGAGATTATCTGATTATCATTAAAAAGAAGGAAAGTAGAGCAAAGATTTGAACCCAGGTCTTTAGAGCTCTTGTTTTAACCATTACAATTCTCCTACCTCAACACACATCTGAGCATGAAGACAGAACTTTTCTGGAATCCAATCAACTCGTTTCAACAACCTCCTCAGTAGGATTTTATAGGCGGTGAAAACCCACAGATCCAAACTATTTTCCCCCAGTGTGCGCCTTGGGAGTAAGGTATTATTTCTAGAACAACCCAGTTAAATAAATGTAGACGGGAGATAATAAATTGTAGGTGATAACAAATTTAGATATAG